ATGTTCAATCGTGGAACTCGAATGTTGGACGAGATTACAGCTAAGTTGAAATCGAAATCTTCAATGTCGGAAAAGCAACTAACAATATTGCATTGCAAGTGAAACACTGAATTCTTTATAAGAATGTTGAAAGCCTGATGTTGAATTTTGTCGGGAATATAACGCCATATGGCGCACACGTGACAAATAACGAGCTATTCAGAAGACCTTCCAGGAGCGTTTACCACTTGTCTGGAAAATCCGATATTTTCAGTTGGTGAAAATAAAGAACGGTTCATTCCAACGGAAATTTTCCGGAAAAAACCGAATATCTTCTTCGCCGTTCCATTTGACGACAAACCACTAGTGTCAGACTTCTAGCCGTGTGAAATATGTATGATGGCGAATTTGCTTCTAAAAGCTCGTTCTCTAGTCAAAACGTCAAAAACGACTAAAAACGCCAAGGTTAGTTCCGCTTATAGTGCTTTGTACTGACTGTTCAAGGACAATGATCCGTCAACCATTGTAATATGGTAACTATGGTTTCAGTAATCTGACCTCACCGACCTCACCTGCATGAGTATCACATTCTCTGGGGGCCTGATACTCGGGTTATTTGAACCGGATATTGTACACTCTACTCGATGCGCCAGAAGCTCGAACACTCTCAATCTTTTCTCTAAATTTGGGTTTAATTATGAAACGTTTTGCAGCTATTTCTTGCTCAGATGATGAAAAGTGGGGGAAAAGCGAAGGGATCGTTAAAAGATATGAGGATTTTTACAGGATCAAAGACGAAGAGTGGACAGGATTTCATGCTACCAGAGGAAATGTTCCCACCATTGAAGACCTTGAAAAATTCGATGCGTTTCTCATTTCTGGAAGCATAAGCTCCGCAAATGATAATAAAGAATGGATTCTAAAACTTAAGGAGTTTATTCAAGCCTTAGTGAGTCTTGACAAAGCAAAAAAGAGACCTAAACTGGTTGGGATTTGTTTTGGGCACCAGTTGATTGGATCTACGTTGGGAGGTCAGGTTGGTCCAAACCCTTCGAAGGATTTTATCTTGCATGCAGAAGAAATCGTGGGCAATGAAGCTGCTTCGAAGGTCAAAGGACTAGAAGGATTGTTCGACAATGGTCCTCTACGACTTTTAGAATCTCATGGAGAATGCCTGACTGAGTTACCAGACGGCGCTATAAACCTTGCAAGCTCATCTTCATGTAAGCAAGAATTGGTGAAGTTCTCTGACAACATTCTAGGTTTACAATCTCATCCAGACATGCTTAAAGAAGAGGTACAGAACCTTATTTTGCCAGCGATTTCAAAGAAGTTTAATTGGAGTGATGAAAAGATCAAAGAAATTGAAGCAAGTGTTAATATGAAGCTTCACCCAGACAAAATGAACGAAGCAATAAAAAAATTTATACAAAATTAGATTGTATAGTTACGTGACAGTGAAGTACTAAACTTACTGTAAATCGTAATTTTCTTGGCGTCTATTTAAACGTAACGCACACTAAATCCATAAAATCAAATCAAAATCCTTATTGAGTTACCCTTATGGATAATTTTGGTGTAAACACTGTTGCTATTTAGAGTGTTTTTGACTGAATACCATATATCAATTATATCATCCATGAAAAAAAATGAACAATTTAGTGCAAAGTTTTGTAAGTCTACAGTCTAGAGTGCAAACAATATAACCGTGAAACTTTAGTAATACTAAATAGCACAATCTCATGAAAATTCCATTGTTTTCTATAGTTTAATTAGCACTATTTTGCACTATTTAGTAATTCGTGTTTCACGAGGTCTACTGAACTTACTAATTATTTGTGCAAATTTGTTCCATTTCTTACCAAGTTTTTCACATATATATGGTAGAGTGGTTTTATTTTATATAAACCTGTGAAAGAAAAATGACTATTTAGTTAGTGCGGTCGGTAAAAACAAAAGAAAATAATGGTTTAGAGTCCACTACTGATTGTTATGCATACTATTCTTTCACGGGTTGAATAAAATCACTCTACGCATTCTATTATCTGATATATTGAACAAATTAGCAACAAAATGGTTTCGTTTCTTGGATATATTCCATGCAACTTATATTACTATTACTATTATTATTATATTATTGTTATTATATTATTATTATATTATTATTAGTATTATTATATTATTATTAGTATTAGTATTAGTATTACTAGCCCTATAAACCTTTTAATTTTGATTTGCAGAACGTTACATCTATTCCGCTACCTGCAATGCAATCACTGTTGCAAAATGACCAGAGTACAGCTTACATTTACAGTTTTATTACACATTTAGGGTCGATATCAGTATAAAGCCGTGAATAAAAACCATATCAGTGAAGTGATGCTATATCACTTCACAGTAAACTGGTTTTTTGTCATTTTATCGACATTTTGAATCGAATGTCAAGAGCTTGATATCTTTTTTATTCACTCATTTGAAATATCATATCACTTGCTTGCAGACTCGCTTGTTCGAGATATGATATGCAAACTCGTGAATAAAAATGATATCAAGCTCTTAACAGGTGATAATCCCTATTTATCACACACATCAGAAATCTCACCTGCAACTTGCAATGCTCTGCTTTCTTCTGCATAGACCCCCTGCACTGAGTCCCATGAAATTAAAAAAATATGGTCGTTTGAATTGTAAATGCTACATTTGTGACGAATAACAAAGTTTAAAATAAGGAAAACAGTAAAGCGCATATTTTGCTACTACCGAATTCAGTACTAACTTATCAGGCTGATAGGCTTGTGACAAGCAAATCCATAGTATTTTTTACCTGAGATTCACCGGGCCATGAAAACTTGTAACTAATTAACTGCCGAGTTTATAATCATGTTTGTAAGCCAGTAACTACTGGAGTTGTAAAAGCTTTCAAATGTTGTAACCCAGTAGTTACTGTAATATTGTAAATTGATTTTTTGTAAGCCAGTAACTACTGGAGTTGTAAAAGCTTTGATGTTGTAACCCAGTAGTACAACTGTGATTGTAAATGAATTTTTGTAAGACAGTAACTACTGGTGTTGTAAAAGCTTTCAAATGTTGTAATCCAGTAGTTACTGTAATCATAAATGATTTTTTGTAAGCTACAATCCTGGACAAAAGTCGTTGGGACACTTGAAAACTCAGCACTAAATTTTTAAATATTGTCTTAATATCCATAGTTTCTCAATGTTTGTATGCCATTTCATCTATTAAGCTCACCCCCCCTCCCCTCCCTCAACTTAATGTTGGTCAAAGCACACATCATCGCAAATGCCCCGCTTGCCCCAACATTGAATTAGGGGGAGGGGAGAAAATAACAATTTCATGTAATTTTATGTTGCTGTCCCAATACTTTTGTCCAGGATTGTATGTATTCACCTGTCTGGGTGCTCAAGGTTGTGCACAAAGCATGATTGGTGAAAATGACCAGCCCTAGGCATTTTTGGAGCTTGAAAGAGCAAAGCAAACATAGGTTTAAGTGTAATTGTTTTTAATCCTCCTTTCCATATTTATTGTCAAAATAAATTTTAAAATGCAGAAGTTGGGTTACAGTAACCTGGAAATGAGGGCCAGCTGTAAAAAAGTTAAATGCTCTGTGGTTGGTTGAAACAAATTTTTTAACTTTCAATTTCAAAAAATTTGTATTGTTTAAATTATGCATTCTTTATTGTTGGTATTTGTAAATGTTCAGACATTGAAATATGACTGAAACCCGAGTAAACACCAGGAGAGGGGGGTACTTCCCTATATTTGCTATACGGGTCCATGCCGCCAAACCGGGTATGGTTTTCAGCGTTTCTACTCTGGAACAGGGTATATGAAATCACGCTCTCTCCTCTGGACAGGGTTTTCAGCGATCTTGCTCTGGAACAGGGTATGAATTTCAGCGATTTTTACTCTGGAACAGGGTCAGGGTTCAGAGGGCTCAGCGGCACATCCCTACCCTAAACAGGCAAGAGTACCCTCTGGGCATAAACGGGTCTGTAATCAAGAAACATGGTAGTACCTAATGGATTATAAAAATTTTAAAAAAAAACACTACCATATGTTCAAAACTAGAGCATTCATACGACATAAACAAATACATTTTTAGAATTCATAGTTTATTTACTAGAAGAGTTTAATGTAGTTAAATAACTGCACTAAGAGAAAAAAAAAACTTTCTATTAATTAAAAAACGATAAACAAAATTACAATAAAACAAGATAAAATCTTGGAATAGGAAAAGTAGAATATGATACTATTTTTGTACTAGAATCTTTGAATTATTATATTAAAGCTAGAAAAGTCTTTCTTTATTACAATAGTTAAAAACTGAGTACGGTTGTTACGTTACAATATTTTATCCAAAGTGCTAATATCAGAGAGTTTAATACATCGCTGAAAGAGAAAGTGTAAACAAGGTATTCTACAGCTTCCAGGCACTTCTTATCATCAGGTCAAAGTAAGCATCGTTGTCAATGCTTGCACTTAATCCTGTGTAGTAGTTGAGCCACTCTTCTTTGGTAACCTGGGAGAGATATTCAAAGGCAATGGTCAGACTGAAGCTTGAAATCAATGGGTAAAAATTTCTTACATACCAACCAAGGTTTTCCAGCATCTTATGGCTGACCTCCCCCTCCCATGGTTAAAAAATGGCCCCTCAACTGAAATGTGCAAAATAGGACCCTTTTCAAGTTCCAAATTACTGCTGTGTTCCTTGATTACAGACTCATTTACTCAGGCTTAGCCTCGATTTTGTGTAGAATATTCACGTGCCTCAGTCAAGGTCCGTCGAATTTCAAAGTGTTTGTATCGTTGGAGTTGTGCATTCTTTACTTTACCGTTGGTATTTGAGAATATTCTTCACAAAATTGAAGCTAAGCCTGAGTAAATGAGTCTGTAATCAAGGTACACAGCAGTAATTTGGAACTCGAAAAGGGTCTATTGACCTCTCCACCTCGGGCAAAAGAAATACCTATTTCAAACCATGTGTCATTCTCTTGAGGATAAGATTCTTTCAGTTGCTTGCATTCATATTCATGTATAGATCTTTTCAAGTAGCTATTAAACAAAGAAATAACACTCTAGGGAATGACACATGGTCTGAAATGTAAAAGGTTAAGCCCAAGGTAATGGATGTGTATTAGGCATTTATCAGCCCAAAACCTCTTCGGCCATTTTTCTAGACTGGTCACATTGACTGGCTACATGTTGATCAGTCTGCATATCATGTTGGCCATTGAGCAGCCATCATTTTAGCCCTGTTATTGGCATACTTTGTTATCAGGATCTGTTGTACTGTCAAAGTTCTTGAGGAATTCTTCTAGGCATCTTTTCTCGTCCCATTCACCACTCTGGTATTTCTTGTGGTTCCTGACATTATAAACTCTGTAGTAAAAGATAAAAATTTCAATAATTGACAATAATATCATTTGCAGAAGGCAAAAAGAAAATATCAGGGAATATTTACAAAGACTTGAGTCTTCTTTAATATATTACTAACTATATTATCTATATATTTGTACTGCGGTTGTAGTGTATCAAATTTAGCCCATCCTTGCAGTATTTGAAGCAACTTATCCAGCTGCAAATTTGTTTTAGTATTTTATCACAAGTGCATTTTATGTAAGCTTGTTACCATTTAAAAAAAATTCCTTTACTGTTATATTCACCCATGAATATAACAGCACAAGACGTAAATTATGACCAATGATTTATTATATTAACTTGTGTAAAAATACTAAAATAAATATTGCGATACTTTGGATTTGACAATGTCCTTACAAACTGCTGCTGGGAAAAACTTTGAAGCTGCAAAAACTACTCTCATCACGCAAAGGTGCCATAAACACACTCTGTGAGGCACAGGTAGCTTGACGCGGGTCACCACTTCATAAATAAACTTTGTTTACGGAGGATGACACTTTCTGGTACTTTTTTAATGTCTATTTATTAGCTATTGGACTGCCATTACCTTGGGAGGGTAAATGTATGGATATTTATAAAACTATATATCACCCTTTAAGGTCTTTGACAGTTATCACTCCATCTCCTGTCTTATCAGCTTTGTTAAATGCCTGCATGACCACTCCTGTCCTGGAATCATTCATTTTGGGCTAGAAAGAAATGATACATTGATATTAGTTAAAGAAAGCCAAGTTGAAATCAGTATAGCTTCATACCAACCCCTCTACCCTTACCCACAAACAGACAATATAGCTTAGGCCCTGTCCACACTATGCCGGATAAATTTGAATCCGAATTTTTATTTATTCGGTTAGGCCTACCGTCCACACAAGTCCGGGCGAATCCAGATCAATTCTTCACCGAAAACGAATTTTTTCGAATATGGTCTCCAGAGTGGAACAATTTGAAAACACTGGCTAGCTGTATTAGTGTGGACAGAGAACATTTTGTATCCGAAATTTTTCAAATACGATGTAGTCATAATTGTCATGGGAACATGGTGGGAAGGCTAAAAATTCCCCGCAGGCTCAATTTCAGCTTCAATGCACATGCTCAGATGTGCAATGAAGCATTTTGCCGCCTCTGGTCAGACTAGTGTGGACACAAAACATTTTATCTGTTTTCATGTGGACGGAAAACTTTTTTTCGGTTTCAGTGTGAAAGTTACGGATTCAAATTTATCCAGCATAGTGTGGACGGGGCATTACTATCACCAGCCCCCCTACCCTTACCTACAAACAAACAGTATAGCTTACTACAAGAGAAAATAAACTAAGAGAAGGAATCCCCGTGCCCCATCATGTGCACACTTTGATGCTATTTTTAGAATCATTGATGCTATTTTTAACTCGTTACCATATAAAAATAGCATCAAACTGTGCACATGATGGTTACAAGGCTATATAGGTAGGATTCCTTCTCTTAGTTCATATTCTCTTGCTTACTATCATCACCAACCTATTCTTCATTTTAGACTTACCCTAAGATTCTTAATGAATTCATCAAAGTCAACAGTTCCACTACCATCTTTGTCAAACTGGGTAAACAGGGCATCCACTTCCTATCCACAACAGGTTAAACAGGTTAAAGAATTGTCAAACTAGATAAACAGGTCATCCACTTCCTGTCCACAACAGGTTAAACAGGATAAAGAATTGTCAAACTAGATAAACAGGTCATCCACTAACCAAGTATCAATATCCAATGAACCAATTATAATGCAGGAGAATACTGCTTATCCAATCAGAAAGCCAAATTTTACTCAACCAAAATTTATTCTAGATATGGGAAGCGAGGTAGGTGGGGTGGTATCACATGTACCAGAGTAGTTTAGGGATGCTCACTCCATCTGAGGGATTTTCCCTGGGATCTAAAGTTTTTCCTTCTCTGTAAAACCCAACATGCTAAATCTTAATTGGATCTGTGAGTTAGCCATGCCCTGACTTAGATCAGCCCAGAGATTGTTCCAGGGTTCAATCTGTGAGTTAGCCATGCCCTGACTTAGATCAGTCCAGAGATTGTTCCAGGGTTCAATCTGTGAGTTAGCCATGCCCTGACTTAGATCAGCCCAGAGATTGTTCCAGGGTTCAATCTGTGAGTTAGCCATGCCCTGACTTAGATCAGCCCAGAGATTGTTCCAGGGTACAATCTGTGAGTTAGCCATGCCCTGACTTAGATCAGCCCAGAGGTTGTTCCAGGGTACAATCTGTGAGTTAGCCATGCCCCAACTTAGATCAGCCCAGACGTTGTTTCAGGGTTTGATCTGTGAGTTAGCCATGCCCTGACTTAGATCCGCCCAGAGATTATTCCAGGGTACAATCTGTGAGTTAGCCATGCCCTGACTTAGATCAGCCCAGAGGTTGTTCCAGGGTACAATCTGTGAGTTAGCCATGCCCTGACTTAGATCAGCCCAGAGGTTATTTCAGGGTTCGATATGTGAGTTAGCCATGCCCTGACTTAGATCAGCCCAGAGNTGACTTAGATCAGCCCAGAGGTTATTTCAGGGTTCGATATGTGAGTTAGCCATGCCCTGACTTAGATCAGCCCAGAGGTTATTTCAGGGTTCGATCTGTGAGTTAGCCATGCCCTGACTTAGATCAGTCCAGAGGTTGTTTCAAGATTTGATCTATGAGTTAGCTTTTAGGTACGTACCTGTGGAGACAGTCCTGAATTACATGTCTGCATGCCTTTTGCAAATTCGTCTTTATTCAATGCATTACTGCGATCGTCATCGTAAATACGGAAAGTCCTGCAACACAAAATTAATCAAGCATTTATCTTAGTTACCATGAAACTGTGATACAGGGGTTGATTTTTTCCCATTGTAGACCTATGACTTTTACTATCCATAGGGTATCCAGATATCTGACATGGTTTTACAGAAAAGGAAATATATATATTGTTACATAAAAGTTACTAGCAAACCTCTTAGTAGCTAATAAGGCTATTGCTTTAAATTAGCAAATTTCACTAGCATAAAACAACATTAATCATAATTATCTAATAATAATAATAATAATAATAATAATAATAATAGTTTATTCCAGCTTTTCTACAGTAGCTATACGTCTGGATACTAAACTAAGAGACTAATAATACCTTTACTATAAGCCGAACCCTACTGAAATAAAACCTATAACCAAACCCCAACCCATGATAATAAGTGGGGGAAAAATGAATAAATTACCAATTAAAATTCCCCGGCATAGTCCCACCTTCATATATACATATCTCTCACCTACGGCTTGTGCTTCTCTTAGCACTTCTCTCGGACTCACGCAATTTCCCGCGTTCTTGTATAACTCAACATAACACGCGCGCTCTTTTCTATCTCTTCAATAATGAAGGAACACAGGGGTTTTATGTGAATTTGAAAATGATCTATCATACTAACCTTCCAAACTTTGAAATGCCATTGACTCCTCTTCTCAACAAAGCAGCTTGCAATTTCAGCAAAGGATCTGTTGCTTCTTGCTGAATCTTGGCGTACTTACGTTCTAATTCTTTATCTTCACTGACTGACATGATTCTAAAATTAATCAATGAGAAATAATCACATATAACCAGGGCATGGAATTACAATAGGGTTTGTGCTCAGGTAACCACTTAAAATTCAAGGACTATTCAAGGAGTATAGTAAAAACCCGCGTATAAGAACCTAAAATTTAAGAACCTGTTAGGCTATAATAATTATAGCCTAAATGAAATTATTTCATTTTTAAGCACCCTTCACATAAGAACCATTTTAGGCTAAAATCCTAAAACAGGTTCTTATTTTTAAAAAAGAAAAAAAATAGAATCAATCTTTTCAAAAATATTTATATTTAGACTTTTTTAATGCTATAACATGCCAGACATGTGTATGAGATTGACGCAGATTCCAATCCTCTGTCATTGAACATTTTAAAGAGAAACCTTGACATTTTATCATGTTTTGTTGTTTTGTATACAGTACAGTACAAGATTTATTGAGGATTACAGCGAAGGTTACAGTAGGTTATTATAACAGAATCAGATTAAAATAGTATACTGTAGTACATTTGATTACCTCAGCCTCCAAGAATACTGTAATTGGACATTAAAGACCAGACTACAGTATTCAATAATACTACTTAATTTCTTGAACAAAAGTTAAGAACCTAATTAAGAACCTAGTTAGCCTAATTTAACACTAAATACCATTTATATAAGAACCTGTTTAGGCTAACTTGAAAAAACCTAGATTCTTATACGTGGGTTTTTGCTGTATACAAGGACCCAAAAATGAATTTTCAAGGAGTATGTTCAGCTAACTATGCCCAGGTTTTGCATGGTGGTTGCACATGGCTGAATTTCAGATTTTCCAATCTTTCTGACTAGATCTATTTCAGAACCATGCAAGTAATGATCAAAGCAAAAAGTTCAAGGAGTTTTCAAGGAGTTTCAATAAAATCGTAAAATTCAAGAGCTTTTCAAGTGCCATTGAAAACATGAATTAAATTCAAGGAGTTTTCAAGGAGTTTAAGTAGTAGTACGAACCCTGTTACAATAATTATTGCAAACTCACAAAATGCAAGTGAAATTTTGTAGTTTAGCGAGTAAGAAAAAAATGTAACCAGCTAAATTTTGCGAGTATGGCCACAGTCCAGAAATTGAAGCACTGAATAGATTAAAACCTGCATCAAGTAACGTTTGTTATTCACCACGATCAATCCCTGGTGACTTTGAAATTTTTGTTAGCGAGAACAAAACGTACTAGCAAGGTTTTGCTTGTGGGTTTAAAAATTAATTTCATCTGCTGTATTACTATCTTGTCTGTGATTGGATGGTTGTTTATAGTGTACAAAAACCGCATTCAATAACTGTTTATTGGAATCAAGGGTGCTGCACCAACTTTAATAGCTCACTTCTGGGGTGTCAAATTCTATTTCTCAACAGTGCATCACATGTATGTAAAGAGAGTTTGTTTATATCTCTCCCTTGATTTAAGAGTTTTTTCTCTGGGTTATCTGGTTTTTCTCCCTCTGCAAAACCTAATGTGCTAAATTCCAATTCAATCTGTGAGCTAGCCATGCCCTGACTTAGATCAACCCAGAGGTTGTTTCAGGGTTTGATCTGTGAGTTAGCCATGCCCCGACTTAGATCAGACCAGAGGTTGTTCCAGGGTTCAATCTGTGAGTTAGCCGAGCCCTGAGTTAGATCAACCCAGTGGTTATTTCAGGGTTTGATCTGTGAGTTAGCCATGCCCTGACAGAGTGTAGAGGTTAGAGCATTATTGATTAGAGTGTCTGACTAACAAACAGTCACAGTTTCGAATCCCGCCTGGTGCTCGGAATTTTTTTTATGAGAAAAATATTCTTGAAGAAACACGAATCATATCTCTAATAATTATCTAAGCAGTAATAACAGAGGTTAAACTAGAGGTTGTTTCAAAATATCGATAAATTCAAGGCTTGAAGTTTTAATACTATTTGTACAGCTTAATCAGTATAAAGTAGTCAGGCCTCCTTGCATGTAACAGGTGTTTATTTTTCACAGCTATAGCTATAGCTCGAAACCAAACTATAATGGACAGACTATAAAGAAAAGGCGTATTTCTAAAAGCAACGCTTGGAGTTATTCAGAATTTGCTTGTATTTTATCTCTGAGAATAAAACATCACTACTCAAGGGTCAGACAAAATAATTTGACACATCCAATAGTAAAGCAAAGCTAATTTGTTTGTCTAGCATTTTCAGGCTAAAAGTTTAAGAATTAAATATTTAAAAGATTTATAAGTAAAGCATACGATCATGTTTGCTTTGAAACGAAAAAAAGTTCATAAACTTAAACGAAAGAAGACGCTGAAAAAACCAACTTTTTTCTTGGTTCTAGTTAAATTGACGTTTATCAAAGTTAAAATATTATATCTTCAGAGTTTAAGAGCTATAGGTATTAATTTTTAGGAATAGTAAACGATCAAAGAAGGAGTTTTTCGCCACGTTGGAATACAAAGTTAACGATATTTATATAAACATAAATTAGGTGTGGAGTGCTGCACAAATATCACTTGAATTATGTCGAAAAACACATCCAAAGGAATAAAAAAGGTTCCAATAGAAGCTAAATACTTCATTTGAGTCATTTATGCGAATTTAGGGTCATTAGGGAGGTTTTTCGGTCATAACTTACGAGTTTTTCGAGGAACTTTTTTCTGTTTTGTCTTGCGAAAATGAAGAGAAGCGCGAAGGAAGGCGTGTTCCAAGTCGACTCAAGCTCAATGGGTCAACTATAACACAGGTAACCCATCATTTATTTCCACGTTCTTTTCATTTAATTTCTCCCAATCTATCTCTCTCTTCTTCTCCTTCTCTTCACTAGTCTTCTTTTCTTTTATCTTTGTGATAAAAATCAATTCCAAGGCTCCGCAATAATTAATCTTATTCTACTTTATTTCATTTTATATATTTTTCGGCGACTTTAAATAAATAAATGCGTAAAAAGGAATTACAGATTACCACATTTATTTGGCCATATGCATTTTGACAAGCATATGCAAATTACCTGTCAATATAACTCTCGATTGACTTTTAATAATTCTTCGATCGTGTGGCCCTCAAGCCTTGGTGGTTTCGCGTATTGTGCCCTCGATATATGCTGATTCCCTGATTGAGGGTAGACTTGCAGCAAACGACTATGCCTTGATTCAAACCTAATGTTTTCTCCCCCGCATTTAAAACCACAAAACATTAATTTGAATGTCTTTAAAACCACTTGGTTAACCATGGATGAATTATAGATTACACAGAAGATCGATTACAAAAATAACAGTAATAACTAGATGGGCTAGTTCTCAGGGTTGCACATCACTATCAAATCCAAGGCTGATGATGACTATTGTTGCCGATGTTGATGTAATGATGTTATTGAGGATGATGATGATGATGTTGGCGCTGCTGATCATATGATATTATGGTCGTTATGATGACGATGATCGCGGTGTTAAAGTCGCCGATGATGTTGAAGATGATATTGGTTGCTTAGATGATGTTGACTTATGATGTTTATGCTGGTGACATGACTGATGACATTGATGATGGTGGTGATGACGATGAATGATTAGGATATTGAAGATAATGCCACTTTATTGACTATACTTTTATAACGAAAGTGTCATATCTACCAAAAGCCTCCATAGCCTGAAGCTAATGTCTAATCGTTGTAGGATGGATGATGTATGTATTTGTGTTCCCTCTATTGAATGGAAACAAAAGGATCGTGCCTAGTATAGCGCCAGGATCGACCTATCACACGAAGTTTTGGGAGCTTATCAATTGTCTTTTTCAATTGTTACTCACAATTCTTTACATACATGGATAACAAGTGAAGGCTAAAGTATTTTGTCAGTGGATTTTATTTAGTATTATTCTTTGTCAAGTAACCGTGGCGATTGCATCAATTTGCAAACATAATTAGTTATGAATATTTTTCTTTCTTTTTAAACGAAATTCACGCTGAATGTCCGCTATATCTACAGCACTCTGTTAGCTATTGGGTTACGATATTTAATGTCTACGATATTTCTCGATTAAATTACCAATGAAATAGCGAATTTGAACGTTTGGTTTTATACAGTTGTCCACGGTTACCTCGACTTTGATGACGAGAAATAATAAAACCGCCTTGATTTAAACTTCGTAAAAAATTTCTTCATATCATCAAAACGTTTTCTGAACGTTTTCGATAACATCATTTTTAACATTATCATCATTAGAAGGGAAAAGATATCTTTACAAAACTAAATTCTTCTAAATTCGAACAGCTATCATAACTATATAAAGATCTTTTTTGTGCGAATCATTGTAGCGACAAAATCACTGATGAATAAAGGGTGTTTAGGAGCGGTGAAGAATATTAGAACAAATTATTTTAAAATGAAAATTGTAATACTAGTTCACAGCGTGCTATCCACGTCTTTCCTTGTGTTTGTCTTCTCCATCGTCGTTAAGGAGTTTAAAGAGATGAAATAAGTGTCTTTCAAATTAAGAAAGTCTAAAAAAGTGCTGCACAACTTACCTGAAAGTATAAGTTATTTTTCGTCGAGTCGACTCGTTGCTAGCTTCTTTGGAATGGCTGTTTCAAGGTAGCGTCCTCGCGGCAAATCTGCCTTTTTAAAACATAACATATGTGCTCTGTGATTGGTGTATTCAGCGCATGATGATATTGCATGCGCATAAATCAAAGAATCGCACGCAATATCGAGAATAAAGAGATACTCATGAGTAATTTTATTGTTCACTGATTCATTGTTGAAACTTCTAGATTTTAGTGTTATCCGGAGTGAAACACGCGATTCAGTATTTTTGCTCCAAAAAATGCGGCTTAGCAATAAAAACAAGTATAATCAAATAGATATAATATCAAATTCAAAATTCTTTAGTATCGTTCAACGCGCAAATGACAGGTCCTTGGGATTTTGTTAAGGATCAAGTGCTTTAAGTGCGGTTTGGTTCGTTTTCTATAATTGCCTTGTTTTGATATTATGAAAGTAAATCTTTGGGGAAATAAAGATATTTTAAGATAAATCTTTGCGACATTTTTTTTCAAAAAAACTTTGCATGGCTCTATAGAAATAATACACAAGAGAAATGGGAAAAGGAAGAAGGAAAGAATGAACTGAAAAAGTAGTCGGAAAGTGCCTAAAGGTAACAATTTTTTTTTTCGTGGAAGCAAAAGAACTGTTACAGTAACATTGAAAGAGGAAACAAAAATGGGAAAATGAAGGGAAAAGGATGAAAAAAGGAAGGAAGGGGAGAGAGAAAGAAGAAAGGAAAGGAGTGAGGGAAGGATAGAAGGGAAAATCTTTTTTTGTGGCCAAAAGTGGACTTGACGTTAAGACACTAAGTGACACCTTACTTCATTGTGAACACAAACAATAATGTATAGCTAAAGTTTATTTCTTTCCTATATTTACAGGCATTATATTACAGTTGAGTAAAACGGTCAACATCCTAACTAAAACGAGTGGATATTTAGTTCATTTCGAATATTCATTACTTCCGCTTCTTATGGGAACGTTACAAATACAAAAAACAATAACTTACAATAACAATAATAGAAAATGTCATAAATTAATTATTCTTTGCATTGAGGTGCCCAAAGCAATGCCGTTACAAAATACAAAAACAACAACAAACAAGGCCTTAGAATTGTTCTATTCTACACTGTGCTGTCTAAAATAAAGCATCCTTAAAAAGTAAATAATAATGGTTTAAATTAAAATTAGAGTAATATTCGAATACAAATCTCTTGACAATTCTAAAAAATGGCTTGGCAGTGATTGTGAGCATTACACAATGGCTAAACTGTACTAAATACACAGATACAATATAATATTTTAGTAATCTATTTGGGTCCTATTTATAAATTTGTTTACTTCAGTTTGTAAGCATTTCTCATCATGAGATCGAAGTATGCATCATTATCTATAGAGGCACTGACTCCAGAGTAATAATTGAGGAACTCGTCTAATGTTATCTGAAAAGAAAATTAATAATATTTTAGATTGTAAAATATTTAAAATTGATGTGCGCTCCAAAGATCAACCAATCGGAGCCCATAAAGCAGGATGACTACATGATTCAGGGGCGTAGTGGTCTGGGGCCCTCCACGGCTTTTTAGAGTAATTGTGGCAATTTTCATTCTTTGCATTAAAAGTAAACGTAAGACAGGGGTTCTTATTTGGAAAATTCTGGCTACACACCTGTAATTTTATTATGTAGCTTAGAATGTACTATACTTTATTTTGAACAGAGCATGGTGCCTGATGCCAATCAGACAATGCACTGCTGTTGATACCTACTCAACCAATTTCAACACATAGTGTAGATGACAACTAGTTTTTGAACTAGTTTGGACTGCGTCAGTGTTTTTTAGTTGAACCAAATGTGTCGTAGTAAATAATATTATCACCGTAGGTATGAAAGATAGTAGACGGACATTTTGGACGTATTGATTGACTCCGACTATCTTTCATACCAACAGTAATAAAATTATCTACTACGACACATTTGGTTCAATCCCAACACAAACTAAAGTGATGTTTTTCTTTTGTACTTACAACTCCATCTTTATCATCTGGGGAATCGAAACTGTCCAAAAATTTCCTAAAGCATTGTTCTTCTGTCCATTCCCCATTGATGTATTTGGGGTGATGCTTGACATTATATACTCTGATCAAACAAACAAACAACACTTAGTGTCAACAATATTTTGGGGTCAGGGTCGGGGAGAGGGGGTTAAGGGGATAAACCTTTGATTTAATGATAATGATTTATGAATTTATATAGCGCCTTTTCTATATGAATATAAGGCGCTTTACATTGAGTTGTTAATGACAGATTGCTTTTTGTGCAATTTACAAGCATGAGAGATGGTTAGTATGAAGTGGAGGCACTGAGGGTGGTCACTGCCAGGGTTTCTTTACGTCCTCAGTGGTTCTTTTACTTCCCTCCGATGCCTTTTCATGTGGAACCTTTAACACAGTTTTCGATTTTCTGCAAACTTATACTGTTTCAACGGCTTGTTGTGAAATTCGTTTTTCACTGCCGCCAGTCAAGAACATAGAAGGTACTGACTGATTTTTTTTTTTTGACAGCAGTGAAAAACCAAATTTCACTGGCAGCTTATAACTACCAAGTTCGAAGAAAATCAAAAAAAACGCAGTAAAAAAGAAATGATACCCTAGGGAAGGATATGTGGTCTTGAAGGGAAAAACTTTATGTTCCAAGGTAAAGAGGTTTTGTCATACCCTTTAAGGTCTTCTACCGTAATTTGTCCATCTCCAGTCTTATCCAGTTTGTTAAATGCCAGATTAATAACACTTTTTCTTGCTTTGCTCATTGGTGGCTGAAAGTAATAATGAGGTACAGTGTTATGTGAAGTATTGTATCATGAGTAGAGGCACATTGACTTTGTTGATGATGGTGTATTGGTATTGTACCCCCCCCCCCCCCCCCCCCCCCCCACTCAAAAAGAGGATGTTGTAGGGCTCAATAATGTTGAAGTTTGAGCAAGTACATACCCGAAGTGAAATCAGGAACTCATCAAAGTCTATTGTTCCACTACCGTCCTTATCAAATGCATCAAATATACTTTTAACTTCCTGGAAAATTACAAAAAATGGAATACTTAGCAATTAGTTAACATTTATTAGCCAAAGGCAAAGTGATTATTGGCCAATTTTACCGAGGTACGAGTCTTCCTGCGGCAAGGTAAATATTCACCATAATTACTGAGAAGGCTGAGGGAAAAATGCCTTACTGACTTATAGTACATATACGTTACAGCATAAAAATGAAATGGGTTATTGGGATATAGTTATTGTATGACTGTGAAACATATGCTACTTGGTACATACATACATGGTGTCATAACATTGAAATGGCTTCCCATAAGAATGGTTATCACATGAGTGAGAAACRATTAATACGGTACTGATTTACAGCACGTACATGGTACATGTCATAACATTGAAATGGCTTCCCATAAGAATGGTTATCTTATGTGTGGGAAACATACAGTATTGAATAACAGCACATACACATTACGATATGCCGTAACATTGAAATGGTTTCTCATAAGAATGGTTATCGTATGAATGGGAAATATATGGTACTGACATACAACACTTACACAGTACAACTTGCAACACTGAAATGAGTTCTTACGACAACCACAACACACATGCTTTATTGATTGGAGCATAGAAAAGCAACCTCATGCAGAAGCCATTTAAATGCAATAAAAAATTATTTACATTTTATTTCATCTACAACTACATCTGATAATTTTATAGATCCAATGAAATAATACAAGAAAAAAAAACTGATTTCTAATAATAATTTAATTTTTTCTATTAATATTTAATATTTTTTTAATCACCAAAAACAACCGAATATAACCCATTGTAAACAAAAAGCTCTCATCTCTAAGTGGTAGTCTAAGCCTGTTTACTTTCTTCAAATTAATAAATAAAACAAGTAATAAGAACTATTTTTAAACGAACGTATTATATCCTAACCTTGAGTGTATAGTGTGGTAACAATAAGACATTAGGAGATACTATCTTGAAACACTAGGTTTTAGCTAGTTATATCTATTTTGAAACGATTTGCTGAAAAAAGAGCTTGACGTACCTTTGGTTCAAGTATCAGGCCGTATTCTCGAAGACCCTTTTTGAACTCAGCAAAATCAAGCTTTCTGTTGCCATCATCATCCATAATACGGAACACTCTGTAGGATATGAGATATTAAGAGTTATTACGAGAACACACAAGTAAAGAATGCTTACAAAAGCTTCACAGCGACAACAAGCTGCCTTCAAACTTCTACAAAGATGAGCAATATTTTCTCGTTAAACTCACCGACCAAGGCCCTTGATACCTGCAGAACCTCTCTGTAAGCAGTTTAGTCTTAGTTTTTCTACAGGGTCTTTAGTTTTAGCCTCGTTTGCTTTACATTTTCTTATCATTTCTCGTTCATGTCTCGCAGTGGCCGCCATCTTGAAGGCTTCTTCTCTATTATCGTGACGTCACGCCTAATGTTTTGTTCCCATAGCAACTATTTGTGTTTGGAAAGTATTTTATTCTGATGGGCTTCCTTTGTCTTTCTTTCTTCCTTTCTTCCTTTCTTTCTTTCTTTCTTTCTTTCTTTCTTTCTTTCTTTCTTTCTTTCTTTCTT